GTGTGTGTGTGTGTGTGTGTGTGTGTGTGTGTTGCAAGCTGAATGTAGTACGCTGAATATTTTGTATTCTGTTTCTTCTGTGTCGACTATGAGTGGGATGGCCGAAATGCAACGCCGAGTGCCGTGCTGGACGCCCGTATACGGCCCGTACGTAGCACCCTCCCACTCCTCCCGGCTGTGATTTGACGGGTCTCCTGCAATGTGCCGTGATCGGTAAGTGAATTGTGCATGAGAGACAAATGATTCGAATACATCTTTAATCCTTGTCCCGCGTGTCGCGCAATGAGTAGGCGATAACCTCGGGATTCGTGTCTCTTTGCCTCCGTTTCGATTTCTACTTCAAATGAGTGAATCGCGTGGAAAGACGTTTCGGTGAATAGCTCGAACCTCTCATTAAGCACGAGAATTAATTATCTATTGAGTAATTAAAGAGAATAATCGCGCGTTTGGCGTTCTCACTTTACTTGTCGCGATCGCGAACGATCGCGAACGATCGCAAACGCGGGAGCGAGCTTGCCTCAAAATGAATATGAACGTATGAACGTCGATAGTGCGAATTAACAAGCTCAAACGTGTGTGTATGTATGAACACAATTCCGTTTTTCGTCCAAAAACAAACACGTAATTTGCTCGTTCACGTAATTACGTTTACAAATGTTTTAAATTTATTTGTATGTGCTCCTAATCTAACTTTATAGAAAATTAACATTAAATTGTATCGTTTGTAAAAATTTCGTCGCGATCGTTCTTGCAGCGCGGTGATCGCGCATACCATATATAAAAGACGATAAACCGTCGTCGTCAAGATACTTAAAAATTATAAAACATTCTCTATTGCTTATTTCTCAAATATTATTCGTTTTGCTTAAAAAATTTTTTATAAAGGCCTATTGTCTCGTATTCAGATTTTTAAATTGATAGGAGATACATATCTTTTATTTGAAATAACCCAGACAGCACGTACAAAAGCGAGACATTTGTCTAAAAGACATTTTTTAAACAATTTTTTTAGATGTTTTACGAAAAAATAGCTAAAAGACGTCTTATGTCCCGATTTTGGACATTGTGCTGTCTGGGAAGTGTGAAAGAGAAAAAGAGAGAGAGGGAGAGAGGGCTATTAGATATTTAACGAATATAAATATATAAAATTAGTTAATATTTATCGATACATGTAAGATATAAATATTAAATTGATTCTCAGCCAATTACAATCGAGAATCTTCAAAAACGAATAGACCGCCATTGTAAAACTCTCGATAGTGATTTTGGTTGATTACGCTTCTCTGTGCGTGCATCGTCTTTAGCCTGCATCAGAAAGAAGCCTGAGAGAGTTTTGGCCTTTTTCGTGGGACCGTCGAAAACTTCTTTACGCTACCGCCACAATACATTCATTGATCCATTTTCGAAATTAGTGCTACGTAGCCACGTTTATTTTCCGACACTGCCTATAAAACATTATTTTGTTGCGCGTCCGTGCTACATTTGCAAATGTAGTATTATATACGTATAACATCAATACATTTACAGATGTAGCGCGGACGTGCACCAAAAAAATGATGTTTTATCAGCAGTGTCGGAAAATTAACGTGGCTACTTAATACCAGTTTCGAAAATGGATGTATACTGGCGGTAGTGTACTGGGGCTTTTGACCGCTTTCGACGGTCCCACGAAAAAGACCGGGATAGCGGCTCTCTCAGGATTCTCTCTGCTCAGAGCGACTCGACACAGTACTAATAATATTCTAGAACATTTGTGTCGAACAAATAATATCTCAAAAATGATTTCGCTTTTTATCAAGAAATACGCATTTTTCGTCGATATAAATTATATAAATGTCTAAAAGCAATTGTAATTTGTAATTTACTTTATGACTTTCTTGTATTTTGTGTGCTACGTTATACTTTGGCAGAGTGCTCTTTTGTAAGATCGAATGCATCGCGCGCGCGAAGAACTGGGAATATACTCGCAAAGTTCGCGAATATTTCTGAACATTCACGTCCTGCTAATAATAAATGAATCAAAGGCAAAGATAAGCTGTTTTGGCCCCTTTGTCTAAGGCCTAAGAGGACTCAGCTGATTTCGAGGTCGCGCCGGTAATCTGTTAATTGCGACCGGCTGTCGCTTTGTCTCGAGTACTTTACCTCACGCGCTTTTTGGCTGAGGAACCCGAGACAAAGGAGAGTGTTTGCCTATGTTAGAAAATGTTGTCTTCCAAGGCTTGGTTTTTCGAGCTTTAGCGCGGAATCTAAGAAATATGCCGCAATTCGATGGAAAGCTTCCGCAATTCAGCGTTAACGAAATACGAATTGCGCGGCTATAAATTATTTATAAGTTCTCATGTATTGGTACCGAATTTTAGAGTTCGATTTCAAAGTCCTTCTTTGGAGTCACGGTCCTCTGTAGGCTAATAAAGAAAAGATTCTAATATAGTATAGAATAGGGTTGGACATTTGCGTGTGAAATATATCATCGCAAGATTCCCAACTGAGGAACGCGATCACTGATCATTTTTTGAAGGCAGATAACTATCAAACAATAACGATAAATCAGTTTCAAAACAAAAATTAGTCTCGCAAAGTGGAAATTGAATTAAGGGCCACACATTCTCTTCCCATAAAAATTGCAATTGTAACGAATAGAAAGCCACAGTACATATAATATTGCCTTATCCAAAAAACCCGATTCAGGTTCTGTGGTCCAATAAAAAAGAAGAAGAAAACATGTAGATAATAGAATATTTATTTTATATAAATATTACATACAGAAAGCATTTGAAGGATACAGGGGAAAAACGATCAATATCCATCCGGATTCATTTCGAGAAAAACGCAAATTTAAGTTTCAAGACATCAGATATCTTAGGATACTATTGAAAAAATTAGTACAGAATTTAGTGAATATCGGAACGAAGCCTTAGTGTTTACATTGCATGGACTCTGATGGTTTTTTCCCACAAGCGCGTGAATTATGAAGATTTTTTTCTCAGCACGGTATATCTTTCGGCCTTATTTCCAATGAATTGTAACTGTTCTTAAACAAAACAGATAAAAATGATAAAAGTTCGTTGAAAATGTCACAAGATAGCATGACCAGATCAATTTCGACAAGAAGTAGACTGTGATCGTTTTTCCCTTGTACTTTTTATTTGTAATTATTTAGTATTTGTAAAAATTTGAACGATATGACAACCAATAGAACATCACGATGAATAAAAATAAAGATTTAGATAAATATCATCAAAAATGATATTTATCTGAATATACCTACAAGGTTTAGAATATCCTACTCTTATTTCTAAACACCTACTCCCAACATTTTTATTCTTTTCAATTTTAGAAGAAAATGACAAAATGTGTATGGTCTGGAGAGGGACAAATAATGATGAAATCGATTTCCAAAAAAGTCTATTGTTTACAGTCACGTAAAAGTCACCTTTAAAATTTTTTAATGAAATACTCTATTTTTACAGAATTTTGTAGTTGATGTTGAGACGTTTCCAAAGGTCTATAATAATTAATAGTATTGTTGAGAACTTGAGGAGATATGATATCGTGTATTTTGTGATGTCATACGATCACATCTTCGCAAGTTTTCAACAAAAATATTGACTATTATAGGTCTTTGGAAATGTCTCAACATCAGCTACAAAATTCTATCGTCAAAAATGGGGATGTTCCATTTATAAAATTGAAAGTGGCTTCCACGTTGAAAAACAGATTTACTGGATTTTTATTTAGATCAATGTCTCTCCTCCTCTTTCTATCTTACAAACATATCGAATCTTTAAATAGATATTTAATCAATCATACAAATCAAATATAATTCACGTTTGTCGAGTGCAAGTGAGCTGGATGTAGTAGATTAAAAAATCTTCTACCTGAGTTCTTGGTTAAGATCAAAGAACTGAACTTTTTTGGATCCCGAATAGGAATACTATGCAAATGTAACGGACTTGAGTCGCGTATTACGTGATCCATACATAATAGTGCAGTTGGTTCGCCATACTCGCGAAAGAATGGACTTAGAGGCCTTAGAGCGAAGAATGCTTTCTGATTTCTCCCTCTATTGATTGAGCAAGGTAAAGTCTTCATTATATGATTACAACCTTCCATGTTGCACGTGTCTGTGATAGTTCTTAAAACTAACTTCTCTCGGTCAACAATATCTGCAAAATATACTAATGTGAACTTTAAGTTTCCTCCACCTCAACTGATAATTGTAATATTTACCAATGTAACATGGCATAGTTTGAAGCGTCAAAACTGGCACATCGGCAGATGGTTCAGATACAAATATTTCAGAATATTCGACTTTCCATACATTTTCATCAGGAAAATAGATATCGATAAACTGATGAAATCGGGGATGAAATTGAGATATAATTAACATATCATTAAAAATAGTATGTTCAGGAACACTGGTAAAGCCATAAGGTAACTCCGCACCTGAGGTCCACGTACCTATGCATTGTACAAATACAAAAAATATAATAAAATCTTTTTTAACCGATAAAGATAACGCTTAAAATGTTGGAGGAGGCAAGAAAACTGATAAAGCAGGAAAAAAATTGGCAGGGCTAACTCTTGCATATTGAATAAACAAGGATGGTACCTATTTTAAAGCTCTTAAATAATAAATTTTAAGTTTATATCATTAACAATGATAATTAATTTTGAAACATAGTTTCTTTATTTATAAATACTCTTGAGTTTATTTAAGTAATTATAGAGTTGCAGTGAGTTGGGTTAATTAAATATTGTAAAATTTACATTTTTAAATGCAGTCTTAATGTTTAAACAAATTTAAAAAATAAACCTTTAGTTTAAGTATTAAATAAATATTAAGTAATATCAACTAAGTTAGTTAAATAGACCAAACAATATTTTTAACCCTTTAGCTGTTAGGCAAAAAAGAATGCTTATGGGTTAAAAATGCTTTTGACAAAAGAGTTAATAAAATTATTACAAAGATGATTTCTGAGAGTTTTTTGAGTCGCTGAATCTAAATGAGAACTTTTCGAGTTATGAGTCTTCAAAGTTAAATTACAGGCGGCATTAGCATTACCCGAGATATACCACGTGCAGGTTGCTTTAGTGGGTTTACACCCCTTGTGTGTGTGTGTGTGTGTGTGTGTGTGTGTGGGCGTGCGCGCGCGTGCACACTCTCGCCTGTATTTGTAGATAGTTATGAATGCTCATTATTTTATTAAATGTTTAAATTGATGTCCTATTTGACTGTTTTTCAAGCGAACGTAAAATGTATTTAAAACGTTTCTCAAAATTTCTAGTACAATAAAATTTAAAATATTTAATTACTTTTTTTTTAATCGTCCCTGTTTGTAGGTTCCGTTTTACCCTACTTTCCAATGTCAAGTAGCAGAACAGCATCAATTTGTACATTTTATAAAATAATGAATGGATATCCATAACCATTTACAAACACGAGCGAAAGCGCGCACACACGCATGCACGTACACGTGCAAACACGCGTACATACACATACGCACATTCCCAAGGGGTGTAAAAATCCAACAAAGAAACCTCCACGTGGTACACTTTGTGTAATGTTAAAGCTGGCGATACTTAAACTTTGAAGACTTATAGCTCGGAAGTTTTTATCAAAAAAAGGTTTCTTTTAAAATGTTACGACTTCAGCTACATAAATGAACAATAAGAAATATAGAGATTCTTATTTAAAATTTTTATGTTAATCTTGACGGGGCTATTCAAGTAATCCAAAGGTCAAATACATATCACCAGCTAACAGATCTTTATAAACGATATCATTTTTGTTTAAAACATTTTCGTAATAAACCAATACTTTTCTAAATAATTAGCAATTCTGAAACTTTTGGAAACGAACTATATACTAATCTCTGTTAAAAAATTATTATACACAGTTTGAAAATTTGTGTTAAACATAACATAAATTTCTGTCCCAAACGGTCCACTCAAATTTTTGTGTTAATTTAACATAGATGTGTTAAGTTAAATGATAACACCGATACTATATGTTAAAATATTTTAACAGAAAGGAAATGTGAGTCTGATTGTAATTTGAGGTTAATTATGTGTACAGTTAACATAACTTTTATGTTGAAGTTAAGATTATAAGATAAAATCAACACTCTTTTTCTGTAAATTTTTATTCCCACTTCTGTTATAGAGTAAAATCAACACTTTTTTCTGTAAATTTTAACACATTTAGTAAATACGTTTAAATTGTGTTACTTTAACATATTTTTTAAATTATTTTAATAATTTTATATTTTAAATTTGTTAAGTTCAATTAACGTAGCAAGCATACGTTAAATCTACACATGTATGTGTTAATTATTTACACAAAAATTGTAATGGACCTTTTTTAACAAAAATACACAAAATTTTTTACTGTGTATACATATATACTTATAGGTAAATTGGTACATGTATGTATTGCACATGATGTTAATGAAATGCACATTGTATGTGTAGGTTGCACAATTAAAATCACCTGTATGGATATTATAGATATCAACAGTCTTCAGTTTTTGTTTATCCCGTCCCACACCGCCTACAAGCAGCAATTTGTTTTTCAAACACACAACAATCATATGTCTTCTCTCAACTGGCATTCTAAAATGTTTGTAAACAATTTTAACAGACATAACATTTTATGTATTCAATTACTTATCCACTTATTATTCTTATAATTTATCTAATTGTTAACATATTTACTCTGTCTCACGAAACCATCTCTTAGATATCAAAGAATAACGCCATATATTTTTGTTCATTTTTCCTGAACCAATACCATATTCTCCGCCACAAAGATATAAATCGTATCCTTAAAAAAATGATCATATAAAATAATAATTAAGTAAATACGACAAAACTATTTTAGATAGGATATAATAAAAAACAAACTATGCATACTTCTGGCAGTGATTTGCATTCCTTCAAGAGTTCTACCAAGGCGGGAACAACGTTTAATAATTTCTGGAGGATATTCGAATGAAGTTAGCTCAAAAAAATTATTACCATCCCAGCAATGAACATATTGTTCACGGTTATTATGTTCACAAGATGCAATACCGTGTAAAATTTTTGCTTCTTTGCTCTTTATATTTTCTAAAGATACTGTAAAACCCTGTAAAAGAGAAATTTTATTATTAGAATTGTAATGCATTAATGTATAATAGAATATAATAGCATGATGAGAAAACAACATGAAGGTATTTATGCATAAAAGGGGCCCTTTTATGCATAAATACTAAAATAAATATGTGGGAGATATATGTATATGTATACCTTGGAGCTAGAAACCTCCATTTTAGTTGCAATATATTAGAGATAAAGGTTAACAATTCTGTCTATTTCTAACAGTATATTATTCTAAATGTTATTTTTGAATATAACATACTCACTTGATGATGGTTCATCCACTGGTGTGTGATTTTTCGCAAATAAGACTTTGTAGCTTTTACATTAATGTTTCCAATTAACTTCAAAAAATTTTCTCTCGACAACTTACAAATTGAATCGAGTGGCAGTTCATCAAAACGATCTAAACAAACAGCCAAAAAAAGATCTCGTAGCACAATATTCAATTCTGGTGCCAGTAACCAAATTTTAATGGCAAAATTTGGTGACAAGAAGTCTCTTTCAATCCTGTAGGTTGTAGGATTTACTAACTTATCTGCTCCAAATAGAACGCTTAATTTCAACAGACCCAAGAGACGATGAAGCTCTTCAATTTTACAAATTGGCGCAAGATAAAATACAATTCTATCCTCGTGAATGTCGTGAATCCAATTAATGAAATCCTACAAAATTATTATGTCTCTATTTTGTGTACAATGTATACAATAAGATTATTCATGCTGATAAAATCTAATGCAATTTCTATATATATTTGTTGACGAAACTTCCGAAAACGTCCATGCTCAGATTTAGGTCAAACTTTAGTAAACAAGTTTCTTTTAGATAAAAAAGACATATACCAAAAGGATTTTTTGCGACTCCAAAGTTTAGCTTTTTAAATATTATTTCACATTTTTTTTCTTATGTCCAATGTATTATTGTACAGTCATTTTAAATGCTTATCCGAGAAACACGTTTGCACACAGCTCTTGTCGTGAGTGAACTAACTCACAATCAGTATATCACAAATCAAAACAGCTCTTAAGTAATGTAAACAACCATACACTGTTGAAAACAGAGGTCCTGTGTGTTAAAAAAAGTCCTTGTTAAAATTTTTGTGTAAAATAATCAACACATACGTGTGTAGATTTAACATATGTCTGCTATGTTAATTGAATTTTACAAATTTAAAATGTAAAATAATTAATATAACTTAAAAAATATGTTAAAGTAACACAATTTGAACGTATCTATTAAATGTGTTAAAATTTACAGAAAAAGAATGTTGATTTTACTCTATAAAAGAAGTAGGAATAAAAATTTACAGAAATAGAGGGTTGATTTTATCTTACAATCTCAACTTCAACATAAAAGTTATGTTAATTGTACACATAATTAACTTCAAATTACGATCAGAATTACATTTCTTTTCTGTTGAAATATTTTAACATAATATCAGTGTTACCACTTAACACATCCATATTATGTTAAATTAACACAAAAATTTGAGTGGACCGTTTTGGACATGTGATTTATGTTATATTTAACACAAATTTTCCAACAGTGTAAAGTCATACCCGTCAAAGTCATAACATAAACATCATTGGCGAAACTTCAAAAAATCAGAAACGTTGTAAACCCATATGACAACTCGTCTCGCGTGATAAGTGTATGCGTGGAGGCAGTAGGTTCCGCCCCCTGCGGGGTGCTCCGCTATTGTTAAACTAGACACATAATGTGCCTTCAAAGTACATGCGTGGGCTTTCTACGCGTGGAAAGTTGTAAATCCATGTGGCACCTCGTTTCGCGTGGAAAGTGTATGCGTGGAGACAGTAGGTTCCGCCCTCTGCAAGGGGCTCCACTATTGTTAAACTAGACACGTGGTGTGCCTTCAAAATACATGCGTGAACTTTCCACGCGTGGAAAGTTGTAAACCCATGTGGCATCTCGTTTCGCGTAGAAAGTGTATGCGCGGAGGCAGCAAATTAAAAATGTTAAAAAAGTTGCTAAACTTTGGAGTCGCAAAAAATCCTTTTGGAATGTCTTTTTTATGTAAAAAAAACCTGTTCACAAAGTTTTATCTAAATCGAAGCATATAAACGTTTTCGGACGAACAGCCTATTTGTTTATTAAAAACATGCATTTTGTTAAGAATTTTGATATAACAATTTTTTACACAAGAAACAAAAAAAACAATGTTTTATACGTTCAAGAAACGACTTCACAGTTGTAAACACAGACAAGAATTAAAATTTGCTTACCTGTAGCGAAATCCGGGAAATATCATAGTTATTTATAACGTGTTCTGTTTGTCCATGTTCAATGAAGTTCGCGGACCAAAGCGCAGCAAAATACTGACACTTGTTCATCAATTTTTGCTTTTCAACCTCGAATCGCTCCTCTCTAAGAATTAATGTCGCTATTCCGCACATTTTATTGCTGTTATTTTCTATTGTAAAAACGTAGTTATCAAATATAGGAATTAAAATATGTATGTCATGTTCGCTGAAATAAACGCAGAAATAGTTACAGAAATACACTACTTGCTTTCCCGTTCATTCGTTTCTCATCTAACCTACATATATAGCACCAGTAACACCACGTGTTCAAGTTCTGACGCTACTCTCTCGACTGTTGATGGGCTCCTGCATTCTTCAACTCTTCAGAACTACTGCGCACAAAACGCGGAAACGCTGGTCACGTGGCGAGAAATCATGCGGTAGCCAATCAACGTGCCGTTTTTCCGTAAAAGCTCTGGATTTTGAAGGCTTTTGTCCGGTTTCCAATTTGGACATTATTTCTCCGGGTTGGATGAAATTGTAAAACATCTTACTTAATTTTTAATTAAAAAAAATAAAGATAAATTTGGACAATTTTCAGGATGAATAGCGTTGGGCAAAACTGAGAAGGATGAAATTGGGAAAAATAATCGACGTTTCGAACTTGATATGTACTTAATAACAATGACAAGATTCCGATAACCTTGGGGCCTTAATTTGACGATGGTTTCTGGTAGCACTTTTAACACTAAACGCCTATAGATCTTATATTTAGACCCAGTTTCACAAGTGTCGGTTAACTTTTAATCTTAGATTAACTCACTCTTTGCCTCCTTCTAACGTCCCCCTTAGAAAAAGACGAAGAGTGAGTTAATCTAAGATTAAAAGTTAACCGACACTTGTGAAACTGGTCCTTAATCTTAATTGTGTTAATCTTAATTGTGTATAATACGGATATTATATTTAATCTTAATTGTGGTTTTGTTTAATCAACTGCGTGCTTTTACTAATCGTCCACTTGATTTGCGTAGTATCTCGCAATTCGCGTAGTATTTCGCGTCAAGATCTTCCAACATTTCATCGCCATTAACGCGACTGCAACGCAGTAAAACGCGGAACAAATAGCGGCAATCGGCGTCGCGACTCCTTCAAATTTGCGCGAAAAATCTATGTTACCTGCTTTTATATTACAGAATAAAGTACTTCCTTCCTATGGGTACGACCTTGGCGAGGTGGGAAGGCCCAGTACCCAGTACGAGGATTTTACCCAAGCAAAATTCTTATTCTGCTTGGATAAAAATCCAAAGACGGGCAAAGCTATAACGTACCCTCGTCCGCCGATTTAATTGAATGAACGAACCGCAGCCGGTTCGTCGCGTTTGCTTCGGGAGTGCCGTTCAAGTAATCGGACTGAAGGACTTTTTTAAACGGGAGTGCCGTACAGTATCGCGCGAGAAAGACTTTTACTGAAATTAGTCCGGCGCGCGATTGTAGTTTGTTATCCGCGAGTGTTTCTCGCGAGTGTCCTGTGCGGTGAGAGGAGGAGGCCTGAGACGAGCAGGAGGTCTGGGAGAGACATCGGGTCCCGGCGGAGCAACCTTGGGGTAAATCATATCTCTTATAAAATTAATAATTTGTTTTTATTTATTTAAATTGTTTTACCTTGATAAATTAGAAGTAATTAGAGAAAGAGAAATTATTTAAAATTTTACTTTATTAAAGATCTTTTTCGGTTAATAGATAATTGCATTGCTAAATATTTCATTGAAAGACGAATTAGAGACGCGTAAGAATTAACTTTTGAAATGTTGATAATTTTGAGCGTTTCTTTAACTTAAATCTTATGTTTGTATGTTACAGTATCACCGTAGATACGTGGCTGCATAACTCCGCCCGTTGCGCATCAGATCGGTGAGTCAATGAGAAATTTTTTTATTGAGGTATTGAGCGATGAATCTACGAATAATAAAATACTAATATTACAACTAAAAAATTTTAATTTTGAGTTAAGCCCATAAAGAGTATTCGTCATATAATATAATATTGTTACAAGTCTACATGCGAAATCCGCTGCACGGGTCGGAAGTGTCGTTATTCTTTTAAACTAGTTTTGTTGTAGTTTCCAGGATGATATAGTGTCATAAATAAATTAACAAGTGAATCACAACAGACTTCTTCAAGAAACAGTAATATAAGTTTATTATAACAAAATATCGTAATTGCGTTAGTTATTATCTCTACAATTCAAACAAATTAAATTAAATTTGTTTTTTCTCTCTCCTGAAATCTGTGCATTTTTGAGTTGTGACAGTATTCTTCTCGGGATACAATATGTTGTTAAATCGTTTAATAAAACTTTAAGACTTCGTTACTTTAAAGATCGCTCGTTTTATTCTGACACATAACCAGGCTTGCAGACTTAAAAGCTTTACACAATTGAATCATTTGCTTTTCATTCATTTCTCTCTCATCTACCTATATTGCACCGCGTTTTCAAATACTGACGCTACTCTCTCGACTCTTGGGCTTCTACTGCATTCTTCAACTCATCAGCACTTCTGCACACAGTGCACACAGGAATCACTTGCCGCTCGGCAAGGAACGATGCAATAGCCAATATTGACGTGTTGTTTTTCCGGAAAAATTCCGAATTTTGAAGGCTTATGTCCGGGTTATGATTTAGTCATTATTTCTCCGGGTTGCATGAACCATCCCAGCAATGAATATATTGTTCATGGTTATGTTATAATACGGTGTAAAATTTTTGCTTTCTTATTCTCAAAATGATAAGTATTTAAAGAAACTGTAAAATCCTGCAAAAAAAAAATTTTTATTATTCGTAGAATTGTAATGCATTAATGTATAATAGAATATAATAGCATAATAAGAAAATAAAATAGAGATGTGTGGGAGATATATATTGTATATATAGAGTAGTCTTGAAATAGTTGGTCAAAATCAGGGATTGGATTGGGCTCGTCATAAAGATAAAGAGAATTCCCATAAACGTTAGTCCAAAAATGTATCCCGCAGGAATTACGATTCATTTAATTACTAATACCTGATTCAGAAAAATAAAATTAAAACTATAAAAAGAAAAAAAACTTTGTTTTTATTTAAAGTTATTGAGAATGTCCACCATTAACTAGAGTAGATGTTTTGGGCAGACTCTTGTCTGCTTTAGAGTGAGACACAAAATATAGTCTGCGTCATCGTAATGTTGGCGAATCTTCTCGAAGTCTGCCAGCAATATAGAAGTATTACATATAGAAGTATAATATGTATATATCTTGGCGTTAGAAATCTCCATTATATTTGAAATATATTGGAGGTAAAGATTTACAGTTCTATCTACTTCTAATATATCACTCCAAATGTTATTTTTGAATATAATATACTCACTTGATGATGTTTCATCCAAATGTTTGTAATTATTTGCAAATCAGTCTTTATAGCTTTTACATCAATGCTTCCGATTAACTTCAGAAAATTTTCCTTTGACAACTCACAAATTGAGTCCAATGGCAGTTCACCGAAACGATTTGAGCAAAGAGCCCAAGAATGATTTTGTAGCACGTTAATATTCAATTCTTGTGCCAGTAACCAAATTTTAATCGCATATCGTGGTGACATAAAGTTTCTGGTCAGCTGGTCGGTTACATCTTTTATTAATTTATCTGCTGCAAATAGAACGCTTAATTCCAACAGAATCAAGAGACGATTAAGCCTTTTAAACTTCAAATACAAGACATATCGTAACTTTTTAAAATCGCAACTTAACGCAACAGCTGATGTAAATACGATTTTGTCATGATGAATCCAATCAATGAAGTCCTACAAAATTATTGTCTTTATTTTATAGTTGTACAATGCGGTTATTCATGCCGATAAAATCTGATGCAATTTCTATGTATGTACATTTGTTTATTAAAAACGTGCATTTTATTAAAAATTTTGATATAACAAATTTTTTACACAAGAAACAAAAAAAAACAACGTTTTATACTTTCAAAAAACGGCTTTATAGTTATAAACACAGACAAGAATTAAATTTTTCTTACCTGCAGCGATATCGGGGAAATATCATAGTTGATAACGTGTTCTGTCTGTCCACATTCTAAAAAGTTCGTAGACAGAAGCGCAGCAAAATACTTACTCTTGTCGATTAGTTTTTGCTTATCAACTTTAAATTGCATCTCTTTGAGAATTAATGTTACTGTTTCACGCGGTTTCCCACTTTCATTGCTATTATTTTCCATTGTAAAATTGCATATGGTATCAAATTATGGGATCTCAATTAAGGGTCGACAGGAGTCACGGCCGAACTCCGAATTGATGTTGGAGACCTCGCGCGGTGACAATACGAAACTTCGTTTCAGTGTCGCCAACGTCGAGAAACTAACTTCTAGGTTTTATGTGTGAATACGCACACACACCATTGAACTGCTCACGCGGACGCACGGTAGAGAGACATATGCTAAGACTGCGGCGTTGCCGCGTGCTCCCCGCTTTAGCAATACGGCCTGAAAATGCTTTCTGGCCGTCCGTAGCAGAAGGCAGTAACGTACCAAGGCAAACAAGCACCCGCTTTAGATGAATTTTGTGTTTTGCTGATGTATTTAGAAAATCCACAATAAACTAGAATGATTTATCAAAATAATTTTATATCAGCGGTGCACACGTACTTTTGTTGTTAAAATTTTGCAGCAAATATTGAGATTCTGATGTATTTAAAAATTAGATGGATAATAATGTTAATTAAACACTCCGTTTTTTGGACTTATAATTTCATCATAGATTGCAGGAACAGATGCACTCATGCAAATAATGTGACAATTTTTTGTCAAATAATTTTTAAAATAATTTTATTACAAAACTACGCAATTAGGCAGTTCTGTACTGGAAAAAATTAGAAGAAAAATAAAATAACGACTTTTTTTACTTGCTATAGTTTCTATAGTCACTCTCTAAAATACGACAATATCAGAAATAAATGAGAATTAGAAACATATCATTATGAGAACACTTTGCAATAAGTATATATATATATATATATATATACATATATATATAATTATGACATATTGTAATATTACAGAAATAAAACTTATTGTGAAATATTTTCGTATAATGTGAAATGAAGTTTTATCCATTTTTAAAAAAGGCGTGTTACCTGAGTGAATTTCGTTTGTATCGTAAAATTGAAGCCTCTTTTCCGCGATGCCGATTGGCTATCTCGATTGATTGCCGCGCCGCGAGCTTGCTTCATCCCGTGAGGGACTGTCATCGCGGAGTGTGGCGAGTTTCGTGCGTGTAGTGCGTCGTGTGTGTCATGATGTGACAGCTCGCGTCGTGTCGCGATTATTATAATGTTAAAGCTAAATGGCGCGCGCGAAGCGCGCGCGTCTGTAGTGTCTAGTAACATTAAAAAAAAGAACAAAAAACGGAGTGTAATCAACATTATTATCCATCTAATTTTTAAATACATCAGGATCTCAATATTTGCTGCAAAATCTTAACAACAAAACTACGTGTGCACCGCTGATATAAAATCATTTTGATAAATCATTCAAGTTTATTGTGGATTTTTTATAAATATATTAGCAAAACACAAAATTCATCTATGTTTTCATTTATTTCCTGCATACTAATTATAATGTATGTAAAGAGATACTGCATCTCTTGCACCTTAAATTATTTTTTTTTGTAATATAATGTATAAATAATGAATGATGTAAAACATCATTCATTTTATTTGTATGGAAATAAATAGGCAAGCAACAAAAAAACGAAAAAAGTTATTAGGAACTATATAAGAGATGGTTTCTAATGCATTCAATGCACAAATCTGGATGGACGTTGTTCTACAAATTTTTAATACAAATCAAAGACCTATTAAAGGATTCAAATCCATGTTAATTGCCAGTATGAAATCTACATGTGTCACAAGATTTTGGGACGTATATAGAAAAAGCAGTGACCGAAGCTACTAAATTTGTATCCATACGTTTAAAAAAAATTGAGCTTACTAATATAAAAATGGATAAGCGATTATACTTTCCCAGATAGCACAGTTGATCTTTATGAATTCATAAAGATCAGATTCAGATCTTTTTGAATTCATAAAGATCAGCTGTGCTATCTGGATTGTTACAAATTATTATATTATTAGCACAAGAAATACATATAATTGTAATAAATTCATATTTTTATCTCTATCTCTATATAAATGAATGTATGTTTGTCCGCTATGCAAATCTACAGTTTTCAAATTAGAACAACCAAATTTGGTATATACTATCTTATGATACTCTAACTTAATTAGACCGTAGACGTATTTTGAGAACCGCATCATCACCGATTTTTTAGGATATCGGTTCTAAAATTTTTCTAATGTCTGTCTGTCTGTCTGACTGACTGCGAACTACTCATTTATTAATGGACCGATTTACTGGAAACCGGCCAAAATTTGTCTAACTTTTCGAGAATGCTGTACTAATATATAAAATTCTTACGGGTATGTTTGAACGTTATTCTTAAAAATTAATCAACCAAATCTTAAAGTATTATATATGAAATAGGGGTAGAAAAATTGAGGAATATAATAGAATTCAAAAAATTGTTAATAATAAAGGGGTTACCGATTTCTGTCTAAAAAAAATCTACGTGATTGCTCTAATTTCCGTAAATTTTGAGATATCGAGCTAATTTTTTTATAGATAAAGTATCATTAAAGATAGGTTGGTGGTATTGAATTTGGCTAGAATCGGTGAAGGGGTTGCCGATTTATGTCTAAAAAATGTATAAGTTATTTGATGGATTGAGTATCATTTAAGGAAGGTTGTTATTAAATTCGGTGAGGATCATGGGCGATGTAAAAAAGTTACAATTGACAATATGTGTTTATGAATCATATATTGGTGGATATAAGATTAGCTAGATATAATAAAGTTATAAAAAAAGACGCTGGGGCGAAGCCCCGGGTAACCAGCTAGTTTTAATACAAGTTCCACACATAATACTATATTATATAATACTTTATATTTATTTCCATACAAATTATGAATGATGTTTTACATCATATTTTTGTTATAAATTCCAAAACAATATTATATAATTTCTTTTATTTTATTATTTATTTTATTCTTTATATTGCTTTTTTATACATATATTATTGCTTCCTCATAGAGGAAGCTTTGTTTTCGTGAATTTCGTATATGAACCTTCGATTGCGTATAAAGTTGGGTTTAGTCAACCAAATTTAAAAAAATTATATATGAAATAGGGGTAGAAGAAACCAACGAAGAGATTGGTTTTTGAGTTTTTTCTGCCAATATGTTCAGATTGTTATAAAACGTCGAAATATCGCCTTAAAAAAAATGTGCGTGTGTATGTAATATGTATGCTTTTGTTGTCCGTATATGCTCTAACTTCCGTAATTTTTGAGATATTGAGATGTTTTTTTTTAATCGATAGAGTATTATTCAAGGAAGGTTGGTATTGAATTTGGCAATGAGATTTTTTTTTTTTTAAATTTTGAATTTTTTTAGAAATGTTCGGTTGCTCTAACTTCCGCAAATTTGGAGATATCGATCTATTTCTAATTTTATTATATTTTTTAGTCTTTTCTACCCCTATTTCAAAATTGTGAAAGTTATAGCAGAAAGTTATTTTGTGCCAATAAACTTTTTGCCAACTTTTTTTTGTTAAGTGCTATAACTTTCACAATTTTTAACATTTTTACAATTTTTGAACGTCAGCCGGTGGGAAATACATTTAAATTTATTACCCTTTTTGCGTTTTTCATTTCAGGCACGCCGTACAGGAGCTACTGCCTACATTGTAGTCAAACGCGCGTGCAAAGAGATAACTCCTACATTTTTTAATATTTTTTCATATAAAAAATACTGTAAATGCACCTAAACATGTACTTCAATATCGTATACACCATGAACTTGATTGGCCTACCACTTTGTCACAAATAAATCCTGAAATTGATTCTCCGCAATCCTCTGCCAGACTGTACTACCCCCTTAAAACGTTGTTTTTTTTAAATAGCTGTACATAATTTTGCCCACAAAATTGTACTTTTAAGTACGACATTCCTTAAATAGAATGGTTTCCTTGGCAAAATCGAACAATTTTTTCTATTTTAAATGCCCACTCTGTGTAAAAAATGTGGAAGAAAGATATGTATATTATTATTTCATTAAATACATATATGTATATATATGTATATATGTAATCCGTGGTTTATAAATTAAGTTTTATATCTGTTCTTTTTGTAATAACATTATTTTTATATCTATTTTGATTTTATTATAACATATTTCTTTTATTAATTTCAAAAATTGGCTGTAGTTTTCTTAATAGTTTAGATGAAAACGGAAATATTTTTGCTATAAATATGTTATCATTTTCAGTATTATATTAAGTAAAACATGTGCACTTTTTCCGATTTAACACTAGAAATACCAAAAGCTATTTTCGACCGTTTTTATTTTTTAATATTCTGTTTTTTAAAGTAGAAAATTTATATTGTAATAAAAAAATTATTCGATTTATTTGGTCTTTAACATGATTAATGTAACATTACTTTTAAAAATTGAAACGGTAGAAAATTATTTGGTATTTCTAGTGTAAAGGTTACTTTAGAGTCTTTAGACAATCTATAATTCACGACAGAAGAATTATATAATTCTATTTGTTATGTTTTGTATTTTGTAATCTATAAGAAAACATTTGAAGATATATAATTAATGCATGTATGATGTATACATATGTCTGTATATGTATATATTTTTTTACATGTACCTCTAATTTTTTGAATGTTTTTTTATATATGCAATTTTCTCACAAACTGTCGTGAATTATAAATCGCGTAAAGTGACCTTAAAACTAATACTCTTTTCTTTTTGCTTCCTCATAAAGGAAGCTTTGTGATAGTAAAAAAAATTTTTTTTGAGATTTAGATGAAAATAAATTTAAAATGTTCCAAAATGTCAAGAAATCATATTAATAGAAAATGTCCGGAAGTATGTATGTGTGTATGTGTGTGTACAGATTTTTTGTACACGTATCTACTTCTACAATTTTTTAGATACCGGGTTGAAATTTTGCACACAAATAGAGTATCATAGAAAGTATATTTTCCTCTAATTTTATTAAAATCTGTTGACCGGTATGGATTTTAAGGGGATTTTCATTTTTTAGAAAAGTGTGTTTTACGCTGTAGCTTTCTCAATATTTTAGATATCGATCTATTTCTAATTCTGTTATATTCTTCAGTTTTTTCTACCCCTAT